TCGCGCCCAGACTTCCTTACTCCAACGCTGGCATGCCCAAGCCCTTGGGTCACTCCAACGATCCATGGCCTTCTTCCTTGGATCCGATAGTGAATCTACACATTGTTTCACCACCAGTGATCGGTGGGGGGTCCAATAGCCAGGGGAGACTAACCCCAACCCCCCCCCTCCCCGTCCTCCAAACACTTCCACTTGACGACTTTGACACTTCAACATGCACAAAGAATAGTTTGAATGCTTCTACCCCTCCAACGAACCACAACAGCCTCTTCTCCGATAAGCCTCCTTTTATATCGTGCTTATATTGTTTTTTTTTTTAAAGTTAATTTAAGTTCCAAGTAAATCAAACCCTTGGATTACGCTAGGTTTTGGTTTTGACCTAGCCCAGCCTGACCCAAACACTAACCTGCATTGATCCAAACCGTAACTAAGGTTCAGCTCACGTCAACCTAGGTTCATCCTAGGCCAACCCAATTCCAATCGAGGTCAAACTGAAGTCCAAATCACATCCAATTCAAGCAACCCAAGACAAACCAGGTTAAACCCAAGTCAAGCCAATGTTAAACCCAAATGGAACCCAATTGAACCAAACCTAACCATGCTCGACGTTGAGCTAATTTAGTTGAACACTAGCTAACCTTAGCTCACCCCTAGCTCAAGTCTAATTCAAGCTTATCTTAAGCTATGTCATATTCCATGTGTAGTAAAGTTAAAAATTCATGTTTTCATGTTTCACATATGATGTGTGGTTCCTTTTGAAAAAAATAAATAACAACAAAAACAACAACAAAGCCTTAATCCTACTACGTGAGGTCGGCTACATGAATCATTTCTCCATTGCGTCCTATTTAGTGTTATATTTTAAAAAAAGGAGGTGAACCTCTCACATGCTGGTTTTCCTCATAAACATTTAACAAGACACCCAAAACTTAAGGAAAAAAACCAAATGGAGAACAACCAAGAAAAAAATTGCAAAACTTTAAACTTAAGAGAACCTCGATTTTCATCTCAACCAACAAACATATAAACTGAAACAAACCGTAGATTAAATATTGAACTCTAACCAAAAGTCTAAAATACACCAACATAAAGAAAGACAACTAGATCTAAGCAGATCCGACACCAAACATAGGTTAGCCATCTTAGACACAAGAACTAAGCATCACACACATACCATAGGTTAGTCCAAGTATAGAAACATAAATTAGTTTAATAGGTGCCCTAATTAGTGCTAAAAACTAAGATATATAAAACAATCTTATCACTGAAACAAGAGGAAATGCTCTAACATGAAGTAACCCATGGTTACTGACGAAGCCTTTTTGAATTGCCTTGAAACTAAAAAATCCTCGACATGCTAGGATCATGGTGCTTAAGGAGGAGTTTTGATCATAAGTTTGGTTATAGTTGAAGGATACCAAAACACCCAGGATGACGAAAGGTCATAGGCATCTTGACCGGGGGCATTGTTACTAATGTCTAGGTTAGTCCGCCGATTTAGATTTCTCATAGAGTCTAGATATATTCAAAAATAGGGTTTCACCTCCACTCTATCTTTCGGTTTAAGGCTCCCAACAACTTTAAATCATTCATTCTATCCTTGATTAAATATGATCAATCGAAACTCTTCAATCACTGCAAAAATTCAAATCTTTGGTTAAACTTTCCAACTTTGATAGTTAAATCCTTTTGCCTGGGCTTTTTCATAACACACTATTATCGAATTGTAAAACTCATTCTTTTGAGCTTAATTCTTCCAAAACACAAACTTGGATCTTTCTTCTCTGACACATCAATTTCGAAATTCTAATCTTTCAATATAAATATCATAGGTCATTATATTAATCAAGTGTTTTCTTTAGAGCTCACAGCTCTAAAGAGGTAATTAACCTTGAGGGTTTGCTCTTGTAGGGAATCCAACCCAAGAATAAAATAATTCTTATGTTACACCTGTAAGGTAAGGGGAAAACCCTGATTCGGTAGACTTACGAATATATTCATCATCCGGATGATCGGGCTCATTTCAATGTAGTATTTACTCCTCTCAAAATGGTATACTATTCTTTAAATATCTCACTCGGTCATTTATATAGAAGTCTACTGAAAGTTCTATGGTGTGTGGCGACACAAAAATCCCCCACCACCAACCTCAAAGAATCCTCTCCCTATTGTTTCCTACCTATAGGAGCAGTGGATTCAACCTTATTTCTGACTTCCGCCAGTGACTCAGCTCCTCTTTCTCAAATAAGCAGAGTAATCTCAATTCACGGGCAGTAGGAAGCCAACAGCCACAAAGAACATCTTCTGAGCAATCACAACTCCCCAACTATCCATCTTTTCCTCCACAATTGTGACAAAAAGCAACCAAAAATCTTGCAACTTGCAGCAACAATTAATTCTTCCAGCCCAAACATGCATAGGGTTTATGACCATGTACAAAATGAAGACGTCTAGTTCTACTTT